ATATAACCAAAAAATTACCAATCGATTTTTAACTCACAAACATCAGAATATTCACCACAGAAAGAACTAGCGTCCGTCAAAAAGTCCTGACATCTCAAGGTCATCTTTAACGGTTAAACAAGGGCTCAAAGGACGGGGATCTCCATATCACCCAAAAATTACCGGCCGATCTTTAACCTACGAACATCAGAATATTCTGCACAGAAAGAGCTAGCGTCCATCAAAACGTCCTGACTTCTCAAGGTCACCCTTCAAAGTCAAACACGGACCCAAAGGACGGGGAACTCAATATCACCCAAAAATTACCGGGCGATTTGAGAACTATCAGCATCAAAATATTGACAAGCGCAAGAGCTAGCGTCCTCCAAAAAGTCCTGACCTATCGATGTCACCCTTCAAGGGTAAATGCAGGCTCAAAGGACGGGGAACTCGGTATTACCCAAAATTATTGTCCGATTTGCATCTTTCAAACATCAGAATATCCAACACGGATAGACCTAGCGTCCGTGAAAAATTATTGACCTCGGAAGGTCATTTTTCAGGGTCAAATATGGTTCAAAGGACAGGGAACTTAATATCACCCAAAAATTACCGCTCAATTTTAAACTTGCAAAGGTCAGAATGTTTCCCGCAAAAAACAACTAGCGTCCGTGAAAATTCCTGATCTTTCAAGATCATTATTCAAGGTCAAACGTGGGCTCAAAACACAGATAACTTTAAATCACCCAATAACTACCGGTCAATTTTAAACTTTCAACTGTGAGAATGCACTAAAGAAGAAATGGCGTCCGTGAAAAAACCCTGACCTCTCAAGGTTATTCTTTAAGGTCAAACGCGGGCTCAAAGGACGGGGAACTCCATATCACCCAAAATTTACCGGCCGATTTTTAACTTGCAACTGTCAAAATATTCACCGCAGGTAGAACTGGCGTCTGTCAATAAGTATTGACATCTCAAGGGTATTCTTCATGTTCAGACGCGGCTTCAAAGGACGAGGAACTCCACAGCACGCAAAAATTACTAGCCGATTTTAAACCTGCCACTGTCAGAACATTTCCCACAGAAAAAGCTAGCATCCGTGAAAAAGTTCTGACCTCTCAATGTCGCTTTCTCAAGGTCATTCTTAAGGGTCAAACACCGGCTAATGGAACGCGGAACTCCATATCACCCAAACCTACCGGCCGATTTGAACTTGTAAACATAAAAAATATTCACCTTACATATTGACCTAACCTGACCTGGTGAATATTTTAATGTTTGTAAGTTAAAAATCGGCCTATGACCTCTGGGTGATATTAAGTTTCCCGTCATTTGAGCCCGTGTTTAACCTTGAAGGGTGAACTTGAGAGGACAGGACTTTTTACGAACTCTTGTTCTTTCTGTGGTGAGTATTCTGATGTTTGTAAGTTAAAGATCGGCCGGTAATTTTTTGGTGATATGGAGTTCCCCGTCCTTTGAGCCCGCATTTGAGCTTGAAGGATGACCTTGAGAGGTCTACACTTTTTGACGGACGCTAGTTTTTTCTGTGGTGAATATTTTTATGTTTGTAGGTTAAAAATCGGCCCTTAACTTCCGAGCGATGTGGAGTTCCCCGTCCTTTGAGCGCGAGTTCAACCTCAAAGAATGACCTTGAATTGTCAGGACTTTATGGCGGACGCTATTTCCTTCTGTGTTGAGTATTCTGATGTTTGTAAGCTAAAATCGGCCGGTAATTTTTGGGTGATGTTGAGTTCGTGCTTTGAGCCCGTGTTTGTTAGTTTTTTTCTGTGGTTAATATTTTGATGTTTGGAAGTTAAAAATCGGCCGGTAATTTCCGGGTGATATGGAGTTCTCGGTTCTCTGAGCTCGTGTTTAACCTTGAAAGGTGACCTTGAAAGGTCAGGATCCTTTAGCGGACGTTAGTTTTTTCTGTGGGAAATGTTCTGATCTTTGCAAGTTAAAAATTGGCCGGTACTTTTTGGGTGATACCGAGTTCCCCGTCCTTTGAGCCCGCGTTTGACATTGAAGGGTGAGCTTGAGATGTCAGGGCATTTCGATGGACGCTAGCTCTTGCGCTTGTTAATGTTTTGATGCTCACAGTTTTCAAATCGGCCGGTCGTTTTTGGGTGATATCGAGCTCCCCGTCCTTTCACCCAGGTTTTGGCCTTGGGTTACATGATATTGCAAAATGAGGGTAATTTTTGGTGTTCTCATGCCACAATTGACCTTGCGACCGTTTTTCGGAGCAATCGGAACTCGCTGCTGAAAAAAATCGCTGAATAAATCGCTGACTTCGCGGACATCGCTGCGGTTAAAGTCATGGGGGAAAATCAAAGCTGAGGTGAAGAGTTTTGTTGAATTCGCGGGATAACGGCATCATGTTCGCAGTTGAATGAGATAATTCTTCCGCAGAGTCGGCTACTTCAAATCAAATGTCTGAGCCGCTCAGAAGGACGTCGAGAAAATTGGTGGTACGGATCGAATCATACCCGTCTGATTTACCAATAAGTGAAAGGTGCAAAGAATGTGGGATGCTCTCTTTAATGTAGCCGCAGGCTCGAGAGTCTTTTTCTGGGGGGGGGGGGGGGAGGGCTTCCATCATCACGGGCCTTTCGTCAACCTGTGCTTCCCCTCGCCTAGCCTCTGGCTGTTTCCGTGGAGGTCACGCGTGCCACGCATGACTGGCCCGTGCCGACGCGACGCCGTCAGCTGACTAACCCCCCCCCCCCCCCCTCCCTGCCCGCAGGCCGGGTGTCCGGGCTCCTCCATCCGAACAGTCGGCGTCCGGTGGCTGTGGAAGGCGGGTGAGCTGCATCGATCGCGTGACGGAGCCTGCGCCAGCCGCCGTCGTCATGTCGGTGATCAAGGAGCACAGCAAAGATGCCGGCCCGCTGCAGCGGTATTTGGCAGAGCATATGACGCCACTGAATCCGCACCTCGTCAAGTTGCGCGCTGCCAGCCTGCATGACGTAGACCACGCCATGCTGAGCGCCTCCGACCAGATGAACTTTCTACAGCTGCTGCTAAAGACGCTTGGCGCCAAGAAGACACTCGACGTTGGGGTGTTCACGGGATACAGGTGACCAGATGCGTCCGGCACGCGGCTAATGCTGGTGGCCAGTGCTATGCGAACTAAGGGCGGCGAAGCAAAAGGGAGCGGGGACAAAGGAGCAGTTGTCCTGTGGGAACCAGAATAGATTTTCTCTCTGCAAATTTTTTGTTGAACATCTTTTTTAAGCTGACGGTTTTATGCCTACACACTAATCGTCGTAAAATGCGGATCACAGAGGCCTCATGACGGTCTAGGAACCCTAAATTGGGCTCCAAAAACCCTTTTCGGAATTAACGCCCCGCTTTCTGGATCAGGAACTCTATTTTGTGTTAAGGAGGCATTTGCTAGTTCGGGAAGCCCCTGTTCTGAACTAGGGGTCTCTTGCGGTCAATGAGTATACTTTATAATGAGGATTCTAGATGTTGGAAGGCCCTTTTCTGGACCACGATCCACATTCTAAGCCAGGAGACCCTCTCTCGTATGTCCGAAGGCGGCTACACCCGATCCGGATGACCTATTTTGGGATAATGAAGATGCGGGTCGGATTTTGAGATCCCCTCTGCAAATCAAAAGGATGCTGTTTTGGATTAGGAGGCTTTTGTACGCTTCAGAAGGCCCTTTTATTGCATAGACGGCCCTGTATTGAGATGGGAGGCCCTTCGCTTGATCGGGAATCAGGTTAAGCAAAGAGCCTGAATCCCTGATTTTAATCAAGAGGTCTCAGTTCGGGATCGGTTTGCTGTCGACGTTTACGACCCATGTTATTTTTTTTAATTGTCAAGGGAACGCGCTTCCCTCTTGAAAGACACTATCCAGGAGAACCTTTCGAGAGAAGATCCAACTTTGCTCAGCGAGCCTCGTGGTAAAGTCCGCCGCCGCCAACCGAAAATCCTGTCTGGTAGGCTAAGCTCCCGGCCTCGGAGATCCAGTCCATGCAGCCCACTCCGCCTCACTGCGATCGAGCCTGCCTGTTACAAGTGATTCCGTGAAGGCAGGCTGCATGTAGAAGTGCAGCGTGTTCTGCCGACTTTCATGACCTAATCAAACAACTTGTCGTGCCTTGGCCCGTAAAAGCAGCGGCTGGAGCATTGCCTCAATCCCTTATAGATGTCCAAACTCCCAAGTTTTCCTCGGCGTCCAGTTTGCACTATCTCATATGCCCGTGAGGTTCACGATTTATCGAGTGATTTATTTGGCGCCGTGTTCCGGTTTCGATGGAAATGCGTGAGATGGTAGCTGCTCAATAATGGCACGATAGCACCGAATATGACGTTTATTTTTCAATATTACATGAAGTCAAATTCTAAGGTCAAGTGACTCCACATCACTCCAAAGTTAAGAGCCAATCTCAGATTTTTAAATTCCAGAATAATTTCCAACACACCAACTGGCGTCCGTCAATTGTGTTGACTTCTCAAGGTCACCCTGTTAGGTGGAATTAAGATTAAACGGCGTGGAACTTCACATCACCAGAGGATTACCGCCGGATTCCGGATTTTTAAGCACCAGAGCATTTACAGCGCATAAACTAATGTCCGTCATAAGCTTCTCAAAGTCACCCTTAAAGATCAAATGTAGGCTCAAATGACAAAAAAAACTGTATATCGTTCAGCTTGAACTCCATCGATGCTATCAAAAATTATCGCCTTATTGCAAATTTTTAACGATCAGAATATTCACCAGCGCACGAAATAGTGTCCCCTGAACATTCCTGATCATGCAACAGCATCTTTTAATGTCAAACGGCGTTGCAACTCCTTGCACCCAAAGTTTACCGACATCTTTTGGATCACAAGCACCAGAATCGTCTTCGGTGTGTAAGTTAGCATTCCTCAAGAATGTTGACCTCTCATGGTCACCCTTCAAGGTAAACTGTATGGTGAGATGATTGATAACTTTATATTTCCTCTAAGTTGCCGGTCATTTTGAATTTTTAGCATCGCAATCGTCTTCAGTGCATAAGCTAGCGTCCGTAAAAACGGAACTCTCAGGGTCATCCTCGCTAAAATGCAAGGTCCAATGACAGGGAATTCCTAATCATGCGAAAGGTCCTGTATGATTTCAGATTTGCAAACATCAGAATATTTACCAGTGCAGGAAATGGTGTCCTTTAAACAGTCTTGTTCTCTCACCGTCACCTTTCAAGGTCACATAGTGGAAACTTATTAATATAATATGTACCCTAAAATACCATATAATTGCTGACTGATTTCGAATTTTCAACTATTAGGATATCCATCAGTTAATGAACTAGTGTCTGTCGAAAAATCCTCACCTCTCAACATCACCCTTCAATGTCAAATACACCCTCAAATCAGGCGAGCTTCATGCCAAAATTATTCATCACTCTTCCTGGTTTAGGAGATGATGACGACTCTGAAGCTTAAAATCCGATACCGACCAGTAGCTTTCATGTGATATAGATGTCGCCGTCATGACATCTGGAAGAGTGATCTTGAGAAGTGGGGACTTCTTGACGAACGCTAGTACATAAGCTAGGGACGATTCTGATGCTTGAAATTCGAAATCGGCCGGTAACTGTGCGGGTGGCGTGGCACTCCCGTGTATGTATCCTTTCCTGCGTAGCATCCCATGCACATATATATAATATATATATATATGTGTGTGTGTGTGTGTGTGTGGTGTGTGTGTGTGTGTGTGTGTTGTGTGTGTGTGTGTGTGTGTGTGTGTGTGTGTGTGTGTGTGTGTGTGTGTGTGTGTGTGTGTGTGTGTGTGTGTGTGTGTGTGTGTGTGTGTGTGTGTGTGTGTGTGTGTGTGTGTGTGTGTGTGTGTGTGTGGTGTGTGTGTGTGTGTGTGTGTGTGTGTGTGTGTGTGTGTGTGTGTGTGTGTGTGTGTTTGTAAACCCTCCTAAGTGGGGACCGAAGTCCGCTACACTCACGCAAGGTGAGGACCGTTTTCAAGGTGGGGGCCGAAAATCGGTCCTCATTTTGCAAACCATTGGAAAACGCTAATTTCGTCCAGATATTGGTCTGGTATCAATCCCTTAGAGGTCCCGACATGGTAGGTTTTGTCCGCCAAGTGTATGTTTCATAGTCACGTGACTTAGGTTGACTTACACAAATCCGCCGGAGAAGTTTCTCGCCTTTCGACTGAAATGTGTGACGTCATCTTTGAATAGAGATGTGCTAATCTTGTTGTCACCTTGAACGCACCATGTAGTGTTGATTTCACAAGACAGAATTGACTGAAGTAACTAAATGATAAACAATAGTTATTTTTATATGCCTTAAGACGTTTAATAGTGACCAAACATTAACAATGATATAGTTTGGCGGGGCACATGCGTAGTACCCATCACTACTGATTGTTATGGCAGACCTTGGCCGCGAGTTGGAATGCCGTGGAGGTGTCGCGTCGCTCGGTTGGTGTCTTGTCACGCGATCAAGGGACGTGAGATATTGCGTGGTGCTTAGTGGTGTTCCTGTGGGCTGGCACGATATGGTAAGTACTGATAACTGCATGATGTTCTGTACTGGAAGCTCTGTTTTTTAAGTGCATGAAGTTTCTCGTACTCGGGTGCACCGCAGTATCAGGGACAAGGGAAATTCTTCCAACTTGATGGCGGTGCGGCAGTTTTACCGTTGAAACCTCTGTAGATATGAAGGAGGAAGGGGGCAAGCATTAGGTGCGCAGCGTTATGTGGGGCAATGCAAATTCTTCCAACTTGGTGGTTGTGTGGCCGTCTTAGCGTTGCATCCCATGTAATTGTCGACGGGAAGAGGGGGGGGGGGGGGGGGGGGCATTAGCGTGCTTTTCACCTCATGTTCCCATTTACCCCTCAATGGGGTGCACCATTCTCACCTTACCCGCATGCACTGAGTGGGGGCGTAGGTACATAAAGTAGTAGGGGGGGGGGGGGCTTTGGGGGGGTGGGGGTTGCCAAAACTTGTGAAATGATGAAGTCTAACCCAAAGATCATCAACAATCCAATTTCTCTCTGAGTTTGGCGCCATTTCATTTCTTAGTTGACAGCTGTAGCTTGATTTCGGAGGGGGGGGGGCCTAGAACCCCCCCCCTTCCCTAACGGAATAGGAAACGTGAACCCTGATATCGAGTAGTGATGGCACGAAACCTTAAAGCCTTTCAACCAGCAGATCAACACACGAGATGTGAACAGCCATGCTTTTTGGAAACTGCAATTAATGCGTGCTTGATCACTTCAGAATGAATGCAACTTTGACCAGCATGGCCCTAAAAGCATAGTGATCTGCAGACTAATCTGCTTGTGGCCCTCCACGTCATGGGGAGCAAATAGCTTTTCCTGCCTGCTCACACCACGTCATGTCAGAATGATATGTCAGTTAATAAAGCATCAAAACTCAACTTTTCGACCAATGAACTCTTTGGACCCTTCCACAGTTGCTTGATGTAGCAGTCTTTTGTAACCTGGAGGTGCAATTCTTTTGTTTTTATTTCAGTTTCCATGAGATAACACAGAATACACTAGGTACCTGGCCCAACTCATTAATCTATTGAAAATGTGCATATTGCATATGCTTTCCACCCTCTATGTTCACAATTTCAGGCAAAACATAGTTTAGTCTACCATAATGTGTGGACTGTAGTGATTTGTGGTAGTGCTGGAAAGCAGCTAAATCAAGGGCGTAGCCTGCAAAGGAAGTAGCAAAATCAGACGAAAATATGGCCACTCTTTTAGATAAATCACAAACTAAAAGCTTAACGTGTACCTTTTGACCAAAAGAGAGCAGCAGGGGGCGCAGCCAGAGGTTTCGTAAGGGGGGGGGGGGGGCACAGGATTGACAGAGGACACCCTCATAGTAAAATCCCCCCCCCCCCAAATCACCTCATATGACCCATTTGTTATTGAAGACATGTTTTTTCTTATTAAGCTCAGACCAACACGGAGCTGACCGTTCGTTGTTTGCGATCTCTGACCGAAATAGAGGAGTTTTCTGTCTCAGGGGTCTCCATCGGTGCCAAAGATCATTTTACTGACATTTGAAATCACGGCCCTACGAGCGGGGGTCCTTAATGTGACCTACAGC